AACAACCGTGAAGACTAACACTATGTCCTGTATATTCTAAACCAACAATAGCATCTGATAGAACAACCGTGAAGACTAACACTATGTCCTGTATATTCTAAACCAACAACAGCAGCTGTAAGTACTCACACTATACTGGTCTTTCACTAGTTCAACCACATTAGAAGAATCATTTTCCAGTTTCCCAGCAGTAGAGCCCTCCAGTTGATCACTTAGACGCTTATAGATAGGCAGCTGATCACTGGTGACAGCAAAGATAACATTTATTTTATGTTTCTTAACCTCCACGTTTATCTGACTGAGGGATGGATAGTCCTGATAAATGCTCATGTTGTAATTGCCTTTTTCGTCCAAGTGACAAATACCATCATTAGGCTTCACAATTCCTCCCAACTGTAATAAAAAAAAACTAAAGTTAATGCTTTACACAAGAATAGTTTCTTTACAAAGTTCCATTCAGTTATACAATATTATTAGCAGGTTGTTTTGTTGTTAATTATATCCAAGGTTATTAAGAACAGTAAACCCAAAAACTTGAAAATTAATATAGATTTAATGTAATTTGTGGAGGATATACAGAAGAAAGGATTCTATGTGACATAATAAAATCTAACCTTTCCATCACCAGCATAATGAAACCCACTGTCTGATGAAAACACCAACATTTTTCTTGACTTTTTTCTCCACTCAATGGCATCCTATTAACAGTATAAAAATAAAAAAGTTTTAAATGTGTACAAAACTACCTTAACAATAATTATTTTAACAGTCTACAAATTGTACACAAAACACAAGTTTAAAGGCAGTAATGTCAAGGAATGACCAAGAAAAATATCATCAAGAGATTTGATGACAAGGAACCGACTTTTAGAAAACAATTGTTTGGAGATATTTTGAATGGGTAGAGAAAGAAACTTTATTTCAAATGTAGCAGGCCTAATAATGTCAAGATTAAGAAGGGAGTTGACCATCAAGAATATGGTAATAATTTACTTGACAAACAATGAGTTGACCATCAACAATATGGTAATGACTTACTTGACAAACAATGAGTTGACCATCAAGAACATGGTAGTGACTTACTTGACAAACAATGAGATGACCATTAAGAACACGGTAGTGACTTACTTGACAAACAATGAGTTGACCATCAAGAACATGGTAGTGACTTACTTGACAAACAATGAGTTGACCATCAAGAATATGGTAGTGACTTACTTGACAAACAATGAGTTGACCATCAAGAACATGGTAATGACTTATGGTCAACTCATTGTTTGTCAAAATCAAGAACATGGTAGTGACTTACTTGACAAACAATG